TTGGCAAAGATACTGGAATGGTCTGCCATTTCCTTCTCCGGCTCATTTTACAGATGAGGAAACTGAGGCAAATAAGGTTGAGTGATTTTTGCCCAGGGTCACAGAGCTAGGAAGTATCTGGGTCACGTTTGAACTCGGGTCTTCCTGACTCTAGGCTCTATCTACTGTGCCACCTAGCTGCCTCTTCACTAGGATACAAATAGAGGCTCAGAGTGACTTGTCTACTATCACACAGACAGTAAGTAGGATTGGAACCCGGATCTTGGGACTCCAAATGTGGAGGCCTTTACCTTTATGCCATCCTACCCTCATTTAAAAGATGGAGAAACTGAGGCCCAGAAAGAAGTAACTTCCCCAAGATCACCTAGGTGGAGGCAGACCCAGAATTAGAAGCCCAGACCCCTGGTCTCCAGGCCAGTGTTTTTCTGCCATACATCATAAGGATGTCGCTCAGGGGCTCAGAGCCCCGCAGGCTAGTGCTTGAGATTTCTCAGAGAACGTGGCCACCAGCCAGGGAAAGGGGAATGGGATGGATGATGCTCTAGTATCCCTCTTTAATTCCTGGCTTTAGGGTCCAGCAGTTTGGTGCTTCTGCTCCCCCAGTCCCTGGGTCTCCATCATTTGGTTTCAGAATGATGTTTGAGATGAAGAAAAGAAAGGGGGGTGAGTCCCCTTGGCGTCAATCCCAAAGCTACGTGAGTGATTGGTATCCAGGTCCCACTGGAGACCCTCATCTCTGGGTCAGAGGTTCCCCATCAAGAGGAGGCAGTGGGGAAGCCCAGTGCAGAAGGACATGCCGCAGGGCCACCATGTAATCTGTGAGCAGTCCTATGACTCAAGGCCTCTGTGATGGTGGAAGGAGCCTGTGGTTGCCGAGACTTTCCTGGGGAAGGTAAAAGGGCTGGCCCAGCTCCACCCTTTCTGCACCAGCTCCCCCGAAGGTTGTGGCCATCCACACACTTTACTTTGTTTCCCCTTCTCTGGAGTGGACCACGGTGATGGGCCAAAGGCACTCACCAGCTCAGAGGGCAGAATGGATTAATTGCTGAGCCTTCATTTTCTGCCTTCGGCCAGGAGTTATTAGTACAAAGCATGGTCAGAGATGCAGAAGAAGGCTCAGAATCAGCCCACTGCCTGGCCAATGTCACTGGGTAGAGCTGAGGAGCCACCACTGTCACGTTGTGCCGATAAGACTCACTTGCCAGAGCCCACTGGTCCCCTGAGCCCCTCTGGCTTCAGGGTCACCTGTCCCCGACAGTTTTCCAGGTCTGAGCTGCATCCTTGTGCTTGTCCTGGGGCGTCCCATAGGACTGCTGACTCCTACCCTCCTTCTACACTGCCCCAGGCCTGGGGCCTCAGATCCCAGACACTAGAACAGGATTGGGGAGGTGTCATCTCTCCTCCTGAGGACCCAAATCCAGCCACTTTGGTAGAACAGCTTCTAGCTTTTAGTGGCTGTGGGGGCAGAAATCCAACTACCATCTCTAACTCCTGGACTATTTTTTGGAAGCCTGCTTTTGGTGGGTGTGTGTCTCCCCCAGGTTGGAAAAAAGAGCCTTAATTTCAAGTCAAAAGATGGAGAATTGACTCCTAACTCTGCTCCTTAGACAAAGACTTAAAACTCTCCGGGCCTCAGTCTTCCCATCTGGGGTCCCTTCCAGTTCATGAATCTATGATTGGTTTTCACATAGTAGATTCAACCTGGTGTTAGAAGGAGGGCCTCCCCCCTCCAATTCCCCAACCAGTGATGGAAAAGGGTCGTTTTGGTCACCATACTGCTGAGTCACAAGAAAGCGGGTTCCTTTCTTCTTGTGCCCTCAAGGACACAGCCAGCAACCCTTCTCACCTCCAAGATGGCAGCTGATGAACCTACCAGTTAAGTTTCAAGCACCCCAAGATGAATTACTGCACTCATTCCAACCATCTACCTTAGAAATCTATAGCAGTGAACTGGAGGGTGCTTCACTGTAATAATCCTTAAAAATTTCGGACTTCTTCAGGTCCCTGGAACCACTTCTCAGAAGCACCGTTTGCTCCCCCTTGTCTCTGGGGAAAAAAAGGTCCCTGTGGCCTGGGTAACCAGATATTTGTGTCTATGGTTTTTCCCCTCCCCCAAAGTTTCCTTTTGTGTTTTTCAGGACAGACTGAACTCTACAGGGAGGTGCATTAAAATACTCACCATGAGTTAACTTTCTGACTTTCCTTTAGACCACCTGGAAGACTTCCAGGAGCCCTAGGCCCACTGCTTTAGAAAACACCATTCCTACACTCCCAAGTCCCATGAAGCCACAGGGGCTTCTCTGATCCACGGTGACCTCACACTAAGAACTTTTCTCATCCTGCTTTTGGTGTTTGGAGAAGACACGTGGCTAGGGCATATGGGGAAGGAGGCCATCAGGAATGATGGGATTGAAAGTGCTGAGCTGGCAGGAAAGATCTTTCTCCAAATGCTTAAATAATACATCCTATTAGTCAGAATGTTCATGCCAGGTTGGGCTCGGAGCCAGCTCCTTTCAAATGCCAGAGCCCTGTAGGCAGGAGGTCCAGGTGGGCTGTGCTTGGGAACTGGTGGAAATCAGCAGTGTTTGCATTAAATGCGTCCTTCATGGGGCCTGAGCTTCCAAGCTGGAGGTGGTGGGAGGGAGGTCAGAGTTTGCCGCTCACTTTTCTGAATGTGAGCTCCCTGAGGACTTTCTCCCCTTTGTACTGGTATCTCCGGCACCCAACTCAGTGCCTAGCACATAGTACTCACTTAATCAATGCTTGCTGCATGACTGATCACTGATTTTTCACTAACCTAACCTTCTTCAGAAGCCACTGTCTTCCTTTCCTTTGTACCAAGGACATACTCTCCTGGCATATACCCAAACAGTCTCTCACATGCCTTAAATACAGATAACATCAATGCTCTCCTTCAGGTGCTACTTAGCATACACAAAAAAAATCAAAGCATCTGCACCATCTCTTCCTGATATCTGACCAAGCTCCCCCACTGCCCACCCCATTCTCTTGTTGCCACCACTGACCTTTGAACATTACCTAATTTCTAATTTCCCCTTTGGTTATAATAGCATTTATATGTCAACTTAAGGTTTGCAAAGCACGGTACATAGAGCATCTCATTTGATGCTGGGAGGTAAGTGCTAGTCTTATCCCCATTTTCTAGATGAGGAAACTGAGGCAAACAAAGGTTAAGTGACTTCCCCAAGGTCACACAGCTAGTAAGGGTCTGAGGCAAGATTCAGAGTTAGGACCTTCTGACTCCTGGTCCAACATTCTGCCTTGTAATGGAGCAGCCCTCCCCCTCACCGAACCTACTTAGTTCAGTCCCTTTCCTTTCATTCTCACATCCCTATTTGTGACATTTATATATGTATGTATTTATGTCTAGGCTTGGCTTTAAAGTTTGCAAAACCTCTTACAAATATTATCTCATTTTGTCCTCCTGACAACCTGGGAAGTGGATGCTGTTATTTTGCCCATTTTACAGATGAGGAACAGTGATTAAGTGACTCACCCAAGGTCACAGAGCTGGGAAGTGTCTGAGCCTTGCTGCTGATGCCCTATAATCAATCTGTGTGTGTTTAGAATGGGCTAAAAAATCAGCACAAGGGGAGGAGGGGGGCTGGGCTAAGGGTCAGAAGATCTGACATGTAGCCCTGCTTATTTGTTGGGTCACTCTGGGCAAGTCACTCCCTATCTGGGCCTCAGTTTCCTGATCTGTAAATTAAGGGGTCCCTGGTTCTAACAGTCTGTGGATCTGCATCCCTGTCATCCTTGATGTACCATGAGCACACGACACAGTTTGTAAGCTTTTAAGCCACCAAACCTTGAGACAGCTTGTCACCTAGGTTACAGGGCTCATCAGTTCTCCAGAAGCACGGGTGCCTGACAGTCCCTACTCCCCTGGGGACCACGCCCCCGCTATACCCCGGCATCCAAATCCCTGGGACAAGCTCAGCACCAAATCAAGGACATGCAGGTCTGGCCTGGCTGTGTGGAATCACCCCAGTGCTAATCCACAAAGCTGGGAAGAAAATGTCAAGGTATACGGCTCCCTCCTCCCCCTCCCCTTTCCCATATCCAAATCTGGGTTTGTTTAACCCTTTGGAGTGGTGGTATTTGGGTATTTCTTTCCCCTTGGCATCCCTCAGAGCCCAGGATGAGCCTCACCCTAATTTAAGGATGCCTTTGTTAGCTTGGGTCAGAGCACCCTGACCTGGGAGCCCCTCATACCCATGGTGGGCAGGTCACTGAATGCGGGGATGTGCTAGGAAGGTTGCAGGTCTTCTTTGTGGACAGGGGCTGGGCAGAAGAACAGAGCAAATGTTCCAAGGCCCAGAGATGGATCACGGGCGTGCCCCTGACTTGAGGTCATCCCTGTCCAGTGGAGAACAGGACTGGGGAGGAGGGCAGAATCATATTTTGAAGGAGGCAGAAAACCCCCCAAACCTTTTCAGGGTTAGAAGATAATCTTTCATCAAACTAAGGAGGCCAGAGTTGCCAAGGCAACAGCTGCCATAGAAACAGCAGCTATTTCTGAAAGTCAGCCTGGTTTTCATTGGTGGAAAACGCTGATTGAGATGACAGCAGGGCTCCCCCACCTCTCGGTGAGCCATCCCTCTCCCCTCTGCCGGAGGCATCCACGCCCCTCTCTCCTCGCCTCCTCCTGCCCTTCCCTGTCTGAGAAAGACTAATGGTCTAGCAATCCACCAAGGACATCCTTCCACAGGACCAGAGGGGCCCAGCTGCCTCCCAACCTGGGCAGCTCAGATCAGAGTCTGCCATCTCGGGCTCTACCCTCCCCCGCCCCTCCATCCACAAGCCCACAGTGGGCAGAGTAGTCAGGGAGGCCGTAGCCCTCCTCTGTGGACAGAGCCTGGACTACTTGCCCTTCCCCTTCCCCTCCTCTTAACATTCCCAGGCCTTGCTTGACGACCAGCCTCGGGAAGCTGGGATGTGAGAGATGTCAAGAAATGCCCCCCTCTGGGTGGCCCTACCTTCCAATCTGTGTCCACAGCTGAGAGGAAGGCATCAGAGTTCTCCTGGAGAGATAACAAACAGAAGAATAGGACATGAAGTCTCAAGCTGACCAGGGTCACCCAAAGGCAGGTGGGTCCCTTCTGCTAAGCTTGGGGTGATGCTCTGAGGCCACTTGGTGACACAGTAGAGAGAACTCGAGTTCAAATCCTGCAATGTGCCCCCAGGCAAGTCCCTTAACCTCTGTCTGCCTCAGTTTCCTTATCTATAAAATGGGGATAATGGCATCCACCTTACAAGGTTGTTGTGAGGATCGTGTGAGTTAACCTATATTAAGCTCTCAGCAAACCTTAAAGTGCTGTATAAATGCTATCTACAGGAACCCATCTTTTTGGCTCAAATGGGGCTGATTCCATCTCTTTTTCCAGGTTGAGTGCCAAGGCAAAATAGCTTGGAGGGTTCCTTCCTAGTGCCTTCTAGAGACCATGGGGCCCTCACAGAATGTGGGAATTAAAGTTAGGAAGACTTGAGTTCAAATCCAGACTCACTAGCTGTGCAACTTTGAGAAAATTATTCTTGCCTCAATTTCCTCATCTGTGAAATGGGGATAATAATAGCACTTCCCTCCCAGGGTTGTTGTGAGGCTTACATGAGGCAATATATGTTTGGCACCATATCAATGCTAGCTATCCTCATTATTATTATCGATGGTATCCTTCCTTCTCTTCCTCAGTCTGCCCTCTAGAAGCAGTTTTTCAGTTCTGGGATGAGGTTGGGGAGGAGAGAGGTCAGTATCTAGCCTGGACACCCGGGAAGTCATCTCAGAAAAAAATGTTTCTTGACTTGATTTGAGAGAGAAGGGAGAATGGAGAATCATTAGGAGAAAGGACTAGACCAAGCCGGAACCCTAAGTTGGAGCTGACTCCAGGGGAGAGGCATCTGTCATGGGGCTGGGGGTGGGAAGACACCGTGTGAGCTCCTAAGAGCCAATGTAGGCAAAGCTCTCTGTAAACCCCGGTGGGTACATGACTCCAGACATCCTGGAAGAACCTTCATTCTGGCCTTGGGGGCCTGCATTGGGATGCGCTCCGGGCTGGAACCAGACTCCCTGAAAAAACTACGTATGGTGTGCAAAGAATTCAGCACCTGGGACAGTGGAAACCTTGGGGAGGAAAGCAGGGAAGGGACACAGGTCAAACATAGGCATGGAGCTCCAGGACCTAAGGGCCAGGCTGGGCTGAGCTTGGCCAGTGACTCACCATCAGGGCTGGGGATGGCAGAGCACTGCAGCTAGACCCAGACTAGGAGGGACAGAGATGGCGGCTCCTCTGGGATCCCCAGTAATAGGGAGCCAGGGGACTAGCACGGAGCTGTTTCTGTTAGTGTCCTTCCCAGTGTTAGATGGCTAACACTTGGATGAGAGAATCAGGTACCAAGGGGAAGTCAATGACCCATTGGAACATAGAGGAACCTAACGAGGAGCTTTAGGAGGGAGAGATGTGAAGTCTGGCACATGGGTACAAAAACAAAATCTCTTCTCACCAGAATGGTACAGGGGAGGTGGGGTCTGAAAAGGGCCGGGGGCTTTAGTGAACGCGTGTCAGGCTATGCTAAGACTGACAGATGTTCCAGGAGAGGGAGGTGAGAACTCCACTGTCTTCTGCCCTCATCAGACCCCACTGTGCTCATTTTGAGGGGCCCCAGTTTAAGAAGGACGCTACTGGGCTGGAGGGAGTCCAGAAGAGGTCCAACAGGATGGCGAGAGGCCTGAGCCCACGTCACCTGAGGACAGGCTGAAGGAAGGGGGCATGATTATCCTAGAGAAGACTTGGGGGTGTGGGGGGGCGTAGTAGCCGTCTTCTAATCCTCTGTGGAGCAGGGATCAGTCTTGCCCTGACCTAGGCCAGAGCAATGGGTGGACGTTGCAGAGAGGCCCATTTGGGCCTGAGGTGACACTTCCTAACCATCCAAGCAGGCCCAAAGTTAAATGGGCTGCCTAGGGTGGTGGCGGGGTCCCTCTCCTTGGAGATCCCTCAGGCAGAGAGGCTGGAGGACCACTTGTCAGGGATGCTACTATTTTTAGCGTTTACATGTCATTGTGAGGTCTGCAAAACATTTTACAATGATCTCATTTGATCCTCACAACCAGCCTGGGAGGGAGGTGCTTTTATTATACCCATTTTACAGATGAGGAAACTGAGGCTGAGAGAGGTTAAGGGACTTGTCCAGGGTCACATGGCTAGGAACCATTGGAGCCTGAATTTGAACCCAAGTCTTCTTGATTCCAAGTCCAGTGCTCTATCTCCTGACTCTGTGCCTTGGCAATGGCTGTGCCCATGCCTGGAATGTTCTCCATCCTGACCTCCTCCTATTGTTTTCACCTGGCGCAGCTCCCCCCCTACCCTCTGCTGGTGTTTTCCCCTCTGAGATTGTCTTGTCTATGTATGTACCTAGTTCTTTACATGCCATCTCTGCCATCAGAGTGTGAGGGCAGGGGCTATTTTCACATTTTCTTTGTCTCTCTAGCACTTTGCACAGTGCTTGGCACATAGTAATATATGCTTGCTGTCTGACTGTGTGCTGCTCTGCAAGATGCCCTCAGGCTTGCCAAGCCTTGGACTCTGAAGGGGAAGATGGACTGAGTGACTTAGCTGTTGGGAGGGAGGATCTCTGCCCCCCTGCTTTCTGACCCAGAAGTGCCCTCACCCCCAACAGCGGGCCTTTGGCTTAGGGTGGGGAGGAGGGGGAAGGTGGCTCATGGGACTTCAGTAAACCCATGAACATGAGTACCACCCAGCTAGGTTTCCTTCTATCCACCAGGCCAGAGAAAAGGGAAGCAAAGCCGAAACATCGAGAAGCTTTAGGCAGGAGAATGCAAAGAACAGCAGGGTTAGGCTGGAGAATCCTGCTTGCATAGTGAGGCTGGGCATGGCCTCCAAGCAGAGGCAAGTGATAGCCAAAGGCAGATGAAGGGAGAGCGTCACAGGTCAACTAAGATGACCGAGGAGCTAGACAGGAAGAAAGAAATGGAGACAGAGAAAGGGGAGAGAGAGCTGGAGAAGGGAGAGAGGGTAAAGAGAGGAGGAGGGGGGAGGGAAAGAGAGGGTGGATAAAGAGAGCAGGGGGCAGAAAAAGAGAGAAGAGAGATGAAGGAGAGGATAGAGAGGGTAAAGAGATGAGAGGGGAGAGGGGAAGAGGGGGAAGAGGAAGAGGAGGAAGAAGAAGAAGAAGTAGCAGCAGCTATCACTGTGTTAGAAGAGTAACAGGACTCACAGAGTAATGGGGTATGGTAGAAGGAGCCCTAGACCTGGGGGGTGGGGAGCAGGAGACCTGGGTTCTAGTCCTGACTTGGCCGCCAACTAAACCCCCATGTGGCCTCAGGTAAATCACTTGCTATCTCTCTTCTCTGTTTTTCACCTGTTAAATAAAGGAATTGGACCAGATTCGTTCCAAGATCCCTTTTGGCTCTAAGATTCAAGGCTAGCCCATTTGGGTCCTTTATGTGAGAAGGCATGGAGGAAAGATGTGGATTGAATGACATATTCCAATGTTGAAAAGGTTTTTTAAATTTCTTGATGAAGACACTACACGTCTTCCATAAATGTCTTCTGCTTCCTTTCTGCGGCACAGATATGACCCTGGCTTCTCAGAGGCCGTATGCCACTGAAGCGTTCCAGGATGCTATTGGTATGCAAGAGGAAATATCTTTTAAGAAGAAAGAATCCTGGTAGGTCTTACCAAGTTACATAAGTTTCAAGTCCACATCTGGAGGCAGATTAGGCCAGAGAAACTTGACAGCATGGTCTGGTGGCAAGGACCCTGGATTTGGAGTCAAAGACCTGAGTTCAGACCCTGGGTCTGCTATTTACTAATCATAAGATGTTGAAAATCATCATTTCCATGCTCTGCTTCTCAGTGACTCCCAGATCACATGGGCTCACTCCTGAATTTTATACTGAACACCACTAGAGGGAGGAGGAATGGAAAATAACTGAGTTTGGGGGAAAGCAGTCATGATTCCAAGCTCCCATGGGCTTCTGAGTTTGGTAGAAAGGGGAAAGGGTGAGCCCCAGGCTCCTGAATATGGGCTACAAAACCCCTTGTGAGGACTGCATTACAGAGATTGGCCAATGGGGGTGGTTGGGCCAATGATGCAGGTGTGGGACTCCAAACTTTGCAACGAAAGGAGTGGAAAGCTGGGCAGCAGAACCAAAGAGAAAGAAGAGGGGGTTCGGTTGTCCAGCAAGCCTGGCTCAGGGGTAGGTAACTGACAGGTGAGGGCATGATATTTGGCTTCTGCCCCTGAATACTGATGACAGAACTCAGGATAAAACAGAAACTAGAGATTTAAGGCCAGTATAGTTAGTGGTGCTGTCAAGGCAAGAAAGAATAGCCAGCCACGGCAGGAAAGGACAAACTATGAGCTAATGGAAGTCTTCGGATTCCTTTAACAAAGGAGCCCATTATATATGTACCTAAGAGGCTGAGCCTTGATTATAAGCTAGGCGATACTGACCATTAGCAACTGAATTTGGGTTTTCATTTCACTTTCTGTTTGAATTCCTCGTATTTTACTGCTCTCTTGGAGCTACCCCTTTGCCCTCCGTTTCCTCATGTGTAACCATCCTCCCGAGAGAAGCTGCAGGCTTAAGGTGACCAGAGCACTGATTTGCCCCAAAACCAAGCTAGTCTTCCAAGAGGTAGGACAGGGAGGCTGGCAGGGGAACCTCAACCCCAGAATAAAAAAAGCCCCTGGCTCCTCACCCCTGGAACATGTGTCAGTGTCAAAATCCTTCATTTGTGATTCATTCCTCTGGGTTCTATGTTCTAAGTCCAGAGCAAGAGAGGCGTGAATGTCCAGGTCAGAGTCCAGTTCTGGAGACCACATCCTAGGAAAGGCTAAGGGGGCCTTTGACAAGCTGGAGCCCGTCCATCCATGAGAGGGCAGCCGCGATGGTGAGGAAAGAAGTCCCATCAAAAAAGGATGGCCGAAGGAACTAGGGAGGTGTAACTCAAGATTTAGGGGGCTGGGCATGATTCCTGTTCTTTGGAGTATTTGAAGTGGGGTCATATGGAAGAGAGGGCAGACATTCTACTTGGCCCCAGAGGGATTACTGGGTGGAAGCTGTGGGGATTTCAGCTTAAAAAAATGGAGCGGTTGACTCAGAAGGACATGTGTTTCAGCTCATAGGAGGTCATCAACGGAGACTGTCCATAGATTTAGAGCTGGGGTGGGGAGTAAGGGGGTGCCTTAGAGGCCATGAAGTCCACCCCCTTCATTTTTACAGATAAGGAAACTGAGATACCAAGAAATTAAGTGACTTGTCCAGGGCCACACAACTAGTAGGCACCTCAGTCAGGATTTAAACTGGCTTAGTGGATGGAACACTGGGCCTGGAGTCAGGAAGACCTGAGTTCAAGTCTGATCTCAGACACTTACTGCGTGACCCTGGGCAAGTTACTTCACCCTGTTTGCCTCAGTTTCCTTATCTGTAAAATGAGCCGGAGAAAGAAATGGCAAACCACTCCAGTATCTTTGCCAAGAAAACCCCAAATGGGGTCAGATACGACTGAAATGATCGAACAACAATAATTCCATGACTCTAAGTCCAGCGCTCTGTCTGCTATGCCGTGATGCTCCCGAGAGAATGTAAGAGGAGCTTCATGCTTCCAGGCTGGGGTTGGACTAGCTGACTTCTCCCACTTCTTCTGAGGTTCTACACGTTAAACGGTGTCTCTCCAGGTGTCTTTATTTTCATTTATTTATTTAATTTTTGGTGAGGCAGTCGGGGTTAAGTGACTTGCCCAGGGTCACATAGCTAGTAAGTGTCAAGTGTCTGAGGTTGGATTTGAACTCAGGTCCTCCTGACTCCAAGGCCGGGGCTGTATCTTCTGCGCCACCTAGCTACCCCTCCAGGTGTCTTTAAAAAACAAAACAAAACAAAACACGCCAAAACTCTTTAATGTGTTATATAACACATTAAATCACAAAGAATGTTAGAGCTGAGGAGGGACTTTGGAGATGAGGATAGTGGAAAGAACATTAGCCCTAGAATCAAAGAAATGAGTTCCAATCTTTCCTCTGGTGCTTACTACCTTGGGGACCATGGGCAAGGCTTTTAGCTTTTATAAGCCTTATATGCAAAAAATGAGGCATGGGGGTGGGTGGGCTAGCCCCTCCTCTATCTCTGGATCAGCGAGCCTAATATATACATATCAGCTAGTCTAACCAATACCCTCATTTTATAGGCGAGGAAGTTAAGTTGGCAAATGGCTTGCTAACTTAGCACGAATGAATTATTGATCATTTTCTTCTCGAAAGGAGGGATTTAGGAGTACTTGAGTAAAGACAGAAAGACAATTTTTGAAAGGGGGATGTGGGGGCTGTGGGGGGGGGGGAGGGAGAAGGGCGTAGGGGCCCAAGTCTTCTTTCCTTAACAGAGCAGGTGAAGGGCAACTGGAGTTTCCTTCTCTGGCCACATGATGTCACTAGCGCTGCTTGGGAGCTCGACCCAGGGGCCGCTAAGTGGCAACCCCCAGGGGGAACTCACCAGCTCAGTGTCTTGCCCTCTGAGCAGCGGCTTCTCTTCGGTGAATCGCAGCTCATGGAGCCCAGCCATGGTCACCTCCTGGAGCAGCAGCCCTGAGAGCGGAGAGAGAAACACCTTGGTTAGGGAGCAGGGAAGAGCCAGAGAAGGCGATCAAAGAGAAAAACTGACCCTTGGGTCAAGAACTCACGGAAAGCGCCCAGCCCTGGCCTTGAGCCTCTACCCAGAATCAGCTTCCCCAGGCACCTGCTCCTTGTTATTTTTAAATTATTTATTTTTAGTTTTCAATGTTCACTTCCAGAAGATTTTGAGTTTTAAATTTTCTCCCCCTCCCTTTCCTTCTCCCTCCCCAAGATGGTGTGCAATCTGATATAGCCTCTACATATATGTTCATATTAAACATATTTTTAAATTAGTCAAGTTGTAAAGAAGGATTAGAAACAATGGGAGGAACCACAAGAAAGAAGAAACAAAACAAAACAACAAAAAAAAGGAGAGCAAATAGTATGTTTCCATATGCATTCAGACTCCATAATTCTTTCTCTGAATGTGGATAGCATTTTCCATCATGAGTCTTTTGGAGATGTCTTAGATCCTTGCATTGCTGAGAAGCACTAAGTCTATCATGGTTGGTCATGTGGCTGTTACTGTGTACAGAGTTCTCCTGGTTCTACTCACTTCATTCAGCATCAGTCCATACAAGTCTTTCCAGGTTTTTCTGAAGTCTGCCTGCTCATCATTTCTTATAGCACAATAGCATTCCAATACATTCATATACCACAGTTTGTTCAGCCATTCCCCAGATAGTGGGCATCCCCTCAATTTCCAATTCTCAGCCACCACATATGGAGCTGCTATAAATATTTTTGTACATGTGGGTCCTTTTCCCATTTGTATGATCTCTTTGGGATACAGCCCTAGAAGTGCTATTGCTGGATCAAAGGTACCACCACTCTTTAGCTGGGAAACGGGGATCTTGTGGCCCCAGGGCTTTCACTATTGCCTAGTTTCTCAATCAACAAGTATTTACTAAGCACTTACTGTGAGCAAAGCATTGTTCCAGACAAGGAAAAAGCAAAACCAGTTCCTGCCCTCAAGGAGCTTGCATTCCATAGCGGAGACAACAAGTGAATCATGGTAGAGGAGATACAGAGTTCCTTAGAGGAGAAAGTTCCTGTGGCTAAGGGACTAGGAAAGGCCTTTCTATGCTTACCTTGGATACTGAGCCCCACCTGAAGCTCCTGGACACCTTCCTGAACACTTTCCTTCTTGGGTTCACAGACGCCACACCCCATCCATAATCTCTACCCCTTCCCCCAATCTCTGGAGCTAATCCTGGTGCTCACCCTTCTGCCCCTCCTCCAAACCACTAGGATGCATGTTCTGGGTTTTGTTTTTCTTAAGTGAAAAGATAGCATATCAAAGTATGTCCTAAGCTGGTTGGCACCTAAACGCTCTAACATAATCTCTAACTAAAGTTCCCCAGCCAGCCTTGCCCAGCTCATGATCCTCTCTGGGCTTGGAGCCCTGAGTCAGCCTGTGATGCAGAGGGGAGGAGGGAAAAAGGCAGCAAGATGGTTTATATATTCAGTCACTCAGTCAATAAACATTTATTAAGCACATATTATGCGCCAGGCACTGTGCTAAATGCATTCATTCAAGTAGAAATTTAAGGAACTGGGATGGTCTTGCTACGGGTCCAGAGTCAATAGAAAGAGTTGTGGGATGGCTCCAAAACCTACAAAGAGGTATTTGAGTGTTTACTATGTGGTACCAAGGGCTGGGGTTAGGGTCAGGGATCATACAGGAGAAGTGCAAAGCCGTCATCTCTGCGCTCAATGAGGGAATTATGCATGGAGAGAGACAAGATTATCCCATGTAAACAGACCAAGGGGAGAGGCTAGTTAATGTTCGACTGTGTGCCCTGGTTATAGGTGTTGGAAACCAGTCAGGAACAGTCAGGGAAGGCTTAAGGAAGAAAGCAGGACACTGCAGCTGGATGTGAAGGAATGAGGATCATCATGGCCCCAAGCACAGGGGAGAAGGCATTGCAGGAAAAGGGGGCCAGGGCAAAGGCTAGGAGGAAGAAAGAATGGGTGGGAAGCGATTGGCTTAGATGGAATACAGAATCTGTTGGAAGACTCAATCAGTCAGTCATTCAACTATTAACTGCTTACTATGCACCAGGCACGGCACTAAACACTGAGGATACATAGAAGGGCAAAAGATAGTCCTTGCCCCCTCTTCAAGGAGCTCGCAGTCTAACGGGGGAGAAAACATGTACATCAATAGGTACGTAGAAAATAAATGCAGAGTGGATGGAAAGCAACCATAGAAAGGAAGTCCTAGGAGCTGGGGAGCCTACGAAAGGCCTCTTGGAGGTGCTGGCATTGCAGCTGAATTTTGAAGGAACTCGGGGATTCTATTAGTATGGGGCTCTTAATCCAGGCCTGCTCAAGCTTTTTCTTTTCTCTCTCTCCTTCCTTCTTTCTTTCTCTTCCTTCTTCATTTGCTTTTCTTTGTTTTTCTTCTTCCTTCTTTCATTTTTCTTTTTCAATCAGTCAATCAATAAACATTTATGAAGTGTCTGCTATGTCCAGGCATTGTGCTAAGAACAGGGAATGAAAAAAGAGGCAAAAGACAGTCCCTGCTCTTAAGGAGCTTGTTACTGTCTAATAGAGGGGACAACATACACACAAATACACAAAGAAGCTACATACAGGATGAATAGGAAATAATTAACAGAGAGACGGCATTCTTCCTCCTTCCCACCCTCCCTTCCTTCCTCTTTTTTAAACTAACACCTTGTACTTTCTGGACAGAAGTGTGATTAGGTGATATGGTGCCAGTCGATTAATGCGATGCCAGACGGTCAATGGTCAAACCCTGGTAGAATAGTCTAACATTGCATTTCTGGCTAGAATGGAGCTCAGTGATCCCTCTGGGGCAGCGACGGTGCAGAGGATCATGGGAATGTTCATCTTGACTTTGTACATAACGACAAGACCTTCTCTGGCTAATCCTCTTCTCTCCTCGAGGTCAAAATAAATGACATGCTGCTATTTTTCACTGCTTCTCATGAATCATCAGTCACCCTAAGTGACTGGCTGTGTGTTTTTTTGAAATTGCTAAGAGCCAGCAGGGTACGGACCATAGAATTAGAAATGGCCCAAACCTACGTTCCAAGTGGGTGGAATGCTCTGAGGGGAGATGGTGGGACTCCAAGGGGGAGTTCCTATTTCACGGATCTCTCAGGAAGGGAGGTTTCTGACGTGACTCTTCTTGTCTCTGTAGCCCTAAGGGATTCAGCAATGACTTTAATGAAAAAAGCGTATCATAAGAAAGGATTCGAAAGAAGGAAATGAAGGGGCTTGGTGAATTTCTAGTGAGATGACTTGTGTGTATGGAAAGATTCTGGGGATAAGTGGGCGGGAAAGATCACTTTATCTGCAGCCTGGTGAACCTACCGGACTGAATCTATGTTTTCAGTCCCGGCTGAGGCCCTAGGAAGGGCTGAGCAATACCAGGGGAGAGGCTGGGCTTACCGAGCCTTTGGGAAAAGGCCACGTCTCTACAGTGAATCAGAGGGCCATCGATTTAGACAGAGGTACCACAACTCATCTGGTCTTACCTTTCCATTTTACAGATAAGGAGACCGAGGCCCAAAGAAAGGAACTGACTTTGGAAGAGCCAGGATTTAGGCTTTGGAAGGACATTGGAGGTCGCTCTTTATTTCGTTGTTCATTAGCAGCTGTCTTTTCTGGCCTCTGTTTGCCTGTGTTTATACTACTCTGTGGGCACAAGAACGCCTCTCCTCTCCTCTCGCCCTGGCCGGAGCAGAGAGAATCTGACCTAGAAGGCTCAAGGGAGCGAGGGAAGAGAACAAACCTAGCCCTTAGCACAGTGCTTTGCACACAGTAGGCACTTAATAAATGTTTGCTGACTTGACAAACCAGCAGAAGAAGTGGGAATCTATGAAATCTAGCTTTATAAAAAAAAAAAAAAGAAGGAACATGATCCTGTCAATCCTTTTCCCATCATACTGGGGATGGTGGGGGGAAAAATGTTGACTCTGGAGTCAGAAAACCTGGGTTCAAATCTCGCCTCTATAATTAGTGCTGGCAAGTCACTTTTCTGAGTCTTATTTTCTACCTCCATAAATGAGAGGGTTAGGCTCTAGGATTTCTTTTTTATTTTTTTCTAATCAATAATCATTTTCTTTCTTTCTTTTTTTGTTGTTTTTTGGCTAGGCAATTGGGGTTAAGTGACTTGCCCAGCTAGTAGGTGTCAAGAGTCTGAGGCCGGATTTGAACTCAGGTTTTCCTGACTCCAAGGCCAGTGCTCTATTCACTGAGCCACCTGGCTGCCCCCTAAGCATTTTCAATTCTTCTGTCTCTCCTACTATGTACCAACTGAAGGAAAAAAAACCAAACCAAACATGATACACAGATCCCCAGACTATATGATTTAAGGTCATCTCAAGGTCACAACCCATGACTCCATGAATCCCGGTACTTATTGGTTTGTGCTCTTGGGAAGATGACGTAACCTTTTAAAGATTTTGCCCAGATGCTTTTTGACAATAATCCTGGTCTTTCCTTATCAAAGAATCCTCACCTGAAAAACAGGGGGGAAGGGGCAGTCAATAGAGCTCTGGGAAATCTGAGTTCAAATTCAGCCTTAGACACTTACTGTCCGTGTGACCTTGGGCAAGTTACTCGACCTCTGCTTGCCTCAGTTTCCTCCACTGTAAAATGGGGATAATAACAGCACCTTCCTCCCAGGGCTGTTGTTGAGGCTCAAATGAGGTATTTGTAAAGAGCTTAGCCTCGAACATAGTAAGGGCTATATAAATGCTGATATATAAGCATTCTTCCTTCCCTTGTAAAAAAGTGAAACATTTCTACTGAAAGGCGCTTTGGTACGGTAGAGAGAGAGTTAGACCAGGGGTCAGGAAGATCTAGGTTCAAAAACTGCTTTTGGCATGAGCTTTGGACCATGGTCAAGTAACTTAACTTCTTTGACCTTTGGCCAACTCACTTAAGACTTTCAATCAATCAACCGGTTTATCAGTTATAGATGGGTGATCTACTTT